AATTTATTAATATTTAATAAAATTATTTATATATAAAATTTATAGCGTTTCAGTAAAAGTAGGAAATGCATATTAGAATAATATATACAGGTGTTTGATAAGTAATGATAAATCTTTCGCACAGGAGCAGAATGTACAATTTCCGCATTAAAGATAAGATATTAATTACTAAATTGGTTTTTCAATAATTTTTTATTCACACTATTAACTTTGCAAGAGACAAAAATTGTTTATTTTCTTTTCATAGAGTTTTAAGAATGTTTCCAGAATTTTTTATTAATTTTTTAGTACATGCATTTTGTTGTTTTTACCAACATGAGAAAGTATAGTTACAAATTTTGAAAAAATTCTTAAAAAATTCTCAGAACTTTATGAGAAGAAAATAAATATTTTTTGTCTCTTACAGTTTTTCTGTAAAATTGATAGTATTTGAATAAAAAATTATTGACCAATTTTTGATAATTTTCAGCAATTAATATCTTATTAACTATTGTAAAAATTGCAAAATGGTAGAGGACTTTTCTTCTCAGTTTAGCTCATTCCGCCTCCATGCAAAAGATTTATTGTTACTTATCAAACACTCTATATATAGTAATAGAAATTGTATATTCCAGATGTTTCACTCGTACTACCCTTTTATCTTAACAGAATAAGGTCCAATCGTAAAGGTGTTCAAATAAAAGTTATAGGATATATATTAAAAAAATTTACTTATTGATCTTATCAATTCGACTTTAGATAACATCACCAAGATCAAATCAAGATCACGTCGATTTTTTTTAATGGAACTTTTTATTTCAGTACCTAATAGCCGATGTCGAGAGCTTTTCAAAACATTACAATAAAGTTATTTTTCATTGAATATTTTTCGAGTTATAAGGCTCGAAAGTTATAGTACCGTCGAGATTAGCATTACGCAAGGTGTTCAATCGAAGGTTAAAATCTCTTGAATGTTATTTAGGATCATGTCCTGAATAATATTTGTCAAAATCAAAATCATTGAAGATTGTACCTCTTATTTCCATTTTTACGTAAAAATAAATCCTTAGTGCAAAAATGAAAATAAAAGGTACAATATTTTGATAACAAATTCAGGACATGATCCTGAACAACATTCAAGAGATTTTAACCGTCAGTCGGACATCTTGCATAATACTAATACTACAATTTTCGAACCTTATAAAGAGAAAATACTCAAAAATACTCAATGAAAAATAACTTTATTGTAGTGTTTTGAAAAGCTCTCGACATCGGTTATTAGATATATTACTAAAATAAAAATTGGGTATTCCATTAAAAAAAAATCAACGTGATTTTGGCGACGCCATCTAAAGTCAAACCGATAAGATTAATAAATAGATCTTTTTAAACCCTAAAACTTTTATTTGAACACTTTTATGATTAGACCTTACTCTGCGAAGATAAAAGGATAGTACGGATGGTCTAAAATACCCGGTATATAATAGTGATAAAAATATTATTGATTTAAGTAAATTTATATTTTGTTTTTTAGATTAAATTTAGTATTTTTCATATTGATACTTCATGGAATCGGTGCCTTGATGCCATGGAATATGTTTATAACAGCTAAAGATGTAAGCCAAGACACAATAATTTATAATATTATAATATTGTATAGTTGAAATTTTATAATATTATTTAATATTATGAAATTATTATATTTACAGTATTTTGTCAGTTACAAATTGTCGAAGGAATACACTGGTGTAGATACAAACTATGCGATGAATTTTCTTGCATATCTATCATTTGCATCACAAGTACCAAATTTATTATTCAATTGGCTGAATATATTTTTACAATTTGGGTATGTATACAAAATACATATATTTTTCGTCAAAATATAAATATTTTATGTCTTAATTTATGTATATCTTTAATATGACATTAATAATACTAATAATGCAATTATAAAAAAATATAAATTTTGTTGATCTTAGATTATTTATATAAGTTGTTAAATAATATGTTTTATACTAAAGAGACTTGGCTTTTCAGAGGCAACTTAACGACGCGTATAGTATGGAGTATTTTTGTTTTGGTCTTAATATTTGTTTTTACTGTCATTTTGGCAATGACTGACAGTTCTGGTTGGCCTGGAATATTCTTCTGGATTACTATGATATCTGTAATTATATTAAATAGTAAGTAATTGTTGTTAATTTATTAGTATTTAATACTTTTTTATTTACTATATTATATGTATTATATGTAAAACATATATATATGCAACAAATAATAAACAAGTTTATATTGAAATTAGTATGTTAAATAAATAAAGATATATGAGTATATTCATTAATAGATATTGTCATTATTGATTCTTGATATTTGAATTATATATACATTGATAATTTATGTTTTAGCTGCCAATGGCATTTATCAGAACTCAGTGTTTGGAATGGCAGCTAAATTACCTATTAGGTACACAGGTGCTGTTGTCTTAGGCTCGGTAAATATTAGCTTCAATCACATTTAATAAAGATTGCATAAAAATATTTGTAATTTGTTACATATAAATTTTGTTTCAGAATATCTGTGGAACTTTTACAGCTATAATAAATTTCCTAGCTCAAATAATGGCGCCGAACGCGCGCACTGCCGCAATATATTATTTCATCACAGCTTTATTTATTCTCCTGGCCTGCTTTGACACGTACTTTGCACTTCCAATTAATGTAAGATTTTTATTAAAAATTAACTTTAAGTAAGTCAGATAATTATAAATTTTTATTAATTAATACAGTGATTTATTAATTTTTAAATGTATAAAAAGATTATTTAACTAATGTTAATTGAATTGAATCGTAGAGATTTTATCGATATCACGAGCTTCTTCATCAAAAAGAGACGAACAAAAGACAATTAGAGAACAATTCAAGAGGAAAACATAAATCAGCTTATTGGAAGGTGTTCAAGGCGTGCTTTCCACAATGTGTCAACATATTTTTAATCTTCTTTGTCACTTTAGCGCTTTTCCCAGCTGTCCAATCTGATATACAGTCTTCAGACAAGAATTTTGTGATTCCCTCTGAATATTATAGCAGTGTTATGTGCTTTTTAACATTCAATATCACTGCCATGCTAGGAAGTTTAATCGCATCGTTGGTTCAATGGGTATGTAAAGTTTAATTTTGTGTATTACACACTTTATATATTTATATTTTTTCTGCATGTAATTATACAAAATTATATTATAAAATTATGGTTAATAATATCTCTAATATATTTACTGTACAATTCTATTTGTTTACTGTACAATTTTATTTGTTTATTAATTAACTTTTATTTATTAATTCTTTTTCAGCCGAGCAGAAAGTATCTGGTGATTCCAGTGATCCTACGAGTTGTCTACATACCATTATTTTTGATCTGCAATTATCAGCCGATGGGCGTAGAAAGAATATTGCCAGTACTTATTAAAAATGATTGGGTGTTCTGGGTTATTGCCATTACTATGGGCCTTAGTAGCGGCTATCTATCGTCATTGTCGATGATGTATTGCCCTAGGTAAGCATGATTAATGGAAAATAGGGGAAAAAATTGATATAATATATACACGCACACGCGCGCACGCGCATACACACACACATACACACACACACGCACACACATATATAAAATATTACTATTGAAAAATATTTTGTATTTAGAATGGTGGATTCGCAGTATGCTTCGACGGCCGGCATGTTTGGAGCGGCGTCTTTGATGACGGGGATTTTCACTGGAATTCTGTTTTCCATGGTGATGCCTTTTATCGTGGTTAACATAAAATTTTGATCGTTTTAAAGATAAGATTTAGCAATATGCTTATATTAACTCAGGAGCTAAAAAAAATATTGCAAATTAAGAATGCAGTCTATCTCCCACACACACATAATTACAAATTAAAATGATGTAAAATAACAATTTAAAAGCTTGAAGAAATAACAATGTTGAAGAAGAAAAGTAAAACGTTATTTCTAAAAAACAATTCGAGAAAAGAAATGATATTTCAGAAATGAACATTACTTTCCTCGACACAAATAAGAGAGATGTTTTCCAGAATGCTCGTTTGCTTATATATACGTTAAATACAGACATATGTATAAAGATATATCTAATCGTACAATTCTTTATATAACAATTATATAAGGATAAACTCTTAATTAAGTAAAAGCTATTTGGAAGCAATGCGTGTTTTTTATAAGTGTGTGACTTGGAGTTTCTATTGATTGATAATTTTTAAAATCCCGTTAATAGAAGAAATAGATACGAAAGTAAATTAAGACTATGTAAAGTGCATTAATAATACAAAAATCGTCTCATACAACAGATTTGTATAGGAAATACCAGAATCCATGGTTTTATGAGAATTATAGAAAGTAATTCTCTATTATTACTACTGCCCCTATTACTAAAACCGGACCAATAAGCCTTATTAATAAAAAGAAGTTATGCGGCGCTCCATTTTTTGTATTCAAATAGAAATCGCTAAATAATTATCAGGAAGATCACATATTTAAACCTGTAATTCGTTACGCGTTTAACGCTAAACACATTTTTTATTTATTACAATCACATTTAAAAAAGAATAAAAACATTTAATAGAATTGTTCTCTCATGTGGTGCTAAACGCGTAACGAGAATATAACTCTTAATAGATAAGCATTACATTTTTAAATAGAGTTTACTAAAGTTGTCATGCTGAATTTCCCTGCAAAAAATATTTCAATTTTGAAATTATTATACTAGCTATAGATATGTAATAGTATGAAACTAATTTGAAAGACGAAGCAATTTTAAATTCTAGCAGTTATTTTATGAAATCATTACACATATAATTTTATATTTATGTTAAAATTAAATTTACAATTTTCAAACTTTTTTAAATTCTGTTTAAATTTTTGATAAAATGAAAATCAATTTACAAGTAATACAAAATAAAAGGCCAAGTCTAATAATTTCTTTACATCATAATAGAATATAGCAATGTGATGTAATAAACTTTCATATTATTTATAGCGTTACACTATTCTGTAATTACAAGGTTGTATTTTTTATTTTTTTAATACGGTTTAGTACTTTATTTATTACATAATATTTATATACGTTGCATTTATATAAAAAAATTGCAGTCTCATATTTTTTCAGAAGTCAAAATGAAGTCATTTTTTTAAAACAAATTCGCTACATCTTTATTTTATAATCAATTATTTCAAGTTAAATTTTATTTAGTGCTTTTATGAATTTTTTGTTTTGCAACAGTTGAAACAAGTTATATTACGTCACGAGATGCAGGAGAGTTAAGACTGTTGGCCATCTATTTGATACTAGTCCCCCACAATTTTGATGAGCTTTCCACTTTATACTTGTAGATTAATGAGCGACAATTTTAGAAATTGGAAGTAATTACATTTTTTCGGGCTATGATTATGTTATATAATAATAATTACGTAATCTTTTTTCTCATATATATGTATACAAGCTTATAATGTATGCTTATGTTATTTATGGTTTAGTAGCGATGAATTTTTATGCATTTCAAATAGTCGTGAGATTAAGCTGTACAATAGATAATACTCTTCCATTAAGCCGTACCTGGACGATCTCCATAATTTTTTTCATTGCAACATACATTGCTCTTGTTAAAGATTATTTTTAAATGGATTATAGTTTAAGCTTTAAATATCTATTTTGAATGTTTTTTAAAGATTATACTAAATATGTATATATTAATGTCATAATCACCTTAACATTATTACACAAATTTAACAATCTTTTATTTGTATTTTGAAATTTATTCATAACAATTTTATTGTATGTAATTATAATGCAGTATATTAATTTTGATTACAAGATACATTTTGATACAACTCTTACGTGTCTACGTGTCTATAATTTTATATTTTATTTTTTTTTGTACAGGATTTTCATTTAGATGTTATACTGCGTTATGATACAAGATGTTCCTAAAATGTTCACTTTCACCAAATTGTACTTTACTGATTTTTATCAGATTTTGTTTTAATTTTATTCTTTTTGTACTAATAAGAGAGCTATTAAATCCGAACAATATTAGAGAATATAATGTATCGAAATACTTTAGACAGAAACTCTATATAAGATATAAAATATATTCAGATATTTCAGCAGAAGTGCGAATTTTATTTATTCGCATTTACACATGCATTTTTAATTATGCTAAAGTGTAAGCTTTATAATACATCTATTATCTCTATCAACTTATACTTATGCATAACGATAATATTACTCCAATATCTTTCATCCATTTTCGATTTAACCTTTATTAATCAATGAATGTAACACAAATTCATGACAAACATTTGAAGAAAAAAAAACTCATTTTTTATAATACAGTGATTCTAAGAATTAGATTGTATAGGTTTTACAATCTAATAAATTTAATTAAATTGATCTAATTCATTTAATAAATTATATGTATAAATCTTCTCCAAAAAAACAAAATTATAAAATAAATTATTTGATAGAATCACTGCGTCGCAATTGAAAATGTGTGTTTCTATTCATTACTTTATTAAGAGAAAATAATAGAATGTCTTACCTCGTTATCTTATCAGACTGATAAAAATAACAATTCTAAAACATATTTTGAATTCCTACAAGGACAATCCTCCATATAAAACAACAGACAATAAATGATCAAGGGAATTCGATAAATAATCTAATAAAATCGGAAGACTCATGAATTTAAGAAAGAGAAAAAAAATTGCTAGGGTAGATAAAATATTTTTATATGGATTCTCGGTCACGCACAAATTTCATTCGACGAACACATGTTGTTTCGCGCACATTGTACCATTTAGATTTTAAGTAAACTATTAAAAATATTCATGCATTAGTATTCAATATTAATAAGATATAAATACGCATTCATTTCCACATAAAATAATACAAATCTTAAATAGTATAAGTTGATTCATACATTGTTTGCTTTATCAGCAGTCATTTCTATGTTGGAATGTATGCAATATATCAACTAAGTATAATATGCATACGTAGGGTGATTAAAAATTGCAGTTCTCTTTAATAATTATAAATACACATTAAGTTATTCAAATTATTTTTCGAATATTATAAAAATTCTTATCGCGTTTGAATTCTTTAAAAAATTTAATTTTTAGAAAAAAGTTTAATTTTATGAAGTTAATTGAGTTCATTATTTTTGTAATCTACTAATTTTAAGAAAATTTGAACTTTTAACATTAATTTTGTGCATCATTTTAGTACAATTTTATTCAATATCTGAAGAATTTTTTTTTCATTCGATATAAAATGGATTCTGATAAACCCTACATATGTCAGGACTTTGTAAGATAAGAAATACATGGTTGCGTTTTATGAATAAGTAGATTTATGGAAAACAGTTTGAACCATTCAATTTATTGTAGAAAGAACGTTAAATAAATGAATAAGGATTAACTATCCTCGTTAACAAATAATATTATACTATGTAACAACAAATTACAGTAACATTCTTCATTACGTACCATATTTTTTTTTATACAGGATGGATATTAATAAGTCAATCAAGTTTTCCTTAAAAATAGATGTTATTTCGTTCCAGTATTATTAGTATAGTATACAATTATTATTTAAATAACAGAAATATGGAGCAAAGAGAGGGCCACATAAGCGTCAAGTATATAATACACACACACACACACACACACGCACGCACGCACGCACGCACATACACACACACACACACACACACACACACACACACTTTGTATCAATGCGAGAGTTTACATTACGTAAACCTTTTCAATTTTTTTATATGGAAATACTTCTTTGGTCTTTGGGCAGATTACAGTGCCGTTATTTTCTTGAGCCATTTTTTCCAATGCCTACAACAAAAAATATAATTACGAACATTGGAAAAGGGACAATCATATAATAATATATCATAATAAATATACAAAATTTTATCTTATAATCTCTCGGAGAGAAACATATCATAAGATATGTTTCTCATCATCTCATCATAAAATTTTGTATATTTAATTAAGATATATACTAAAATTTAATTTTTATCACATACACACATATACATAATACATGTATAATCTTTCTTGTATAATATTATAATAAAATAATACTTTTTTATATTTAAAAATATTGTTGTATTGAGTTGTCCGGAAAGTTTGTACCGACTAACCTATATAATTTAATAAATGTATACTAAAATTTAAATTTTCTGCATTTAAATTTTCCTTCAATATCAGCACGAACTTTCCGGACAACCCAATACTTTATATTGATCATATTATCTCTACATATACATTATATATTTTATTAACATTATTTTTTAAAATATTAATATTCTAAGAGTTATAATCTTGTAAATTATTTAATTTATTAATATTTCAATAATTTAACTTACTTGTTCACCATACACATATCCATTCGGCATCATCATAGGCTGATTGTATTCGTTTAGTGGTTTCCCACTTATACTACAAACAAGTCGCGATTGCGAACAATGAGCGAAAGGTAATGGTGCGGCTAATTCATTTAACGCTTCGTTGCAAACTGGACAGCTAGGATTTCGACCTTCTTTATTTGCGCTGTAACATTGGGGAGTTTTGAGAGCCGACAAGCCAGCTTGCAGAGCAACTGTGAATACACTCTGACTTGCTAACTGAAACAATCTGTAGTTTTCCTGTCGAAATGTCTCGATCAGTTTGTCCCATCTATAATATAAAAAAATTCTTATTAATTATTGATTTATATAAATTAAATAAACTACAATTTTCATATCATAAAGTTTTACAATAACTTTGTAACTCTATTTATAAATGACCAATATAAATAGCACAATTGTGAACCTCTTTTCATCCAGTAAATCCTTATAGGGACTCAAGTATGCATGAGCCGGGAAGGCCAACTGACCCATGCAGCACTGAATCTCCTGCAGTTGATAATCGTCGTAATTGGCGAAGTACTTGCGAGCATGCTTCACCGCATCAAGCCGCCTATCAGTTCGCACTAATTCGATAAATTCTTGCACGCGTAAATTGAATTCCATAGTGCTGCCTAGTTTTCTTAACTTCGAACGATTATCGTGACACCAACCGATGCATCTTGCACTTTCATGATTGGCTAAAGATTTTTCCACTTCCCTCGATACCATAAATACATCTGTAAATGTTATAAGATATTGAAGATTGGCAGAGAATTTTTTTTTACTGAGAATTTATAAAATTTTAAAAATTTGATTTGAAAAGAAAATTTTTTAAATATATTTTTGCGATAAATTTTTCGATTCATATTGATCTTCGCCATTTTCTTGAATTTTTTAACTTAATCACATGTGCTTAAATATTACTATTTATTTATTTATAGTCTGTTCTTATTTCAAAATCATCTTAAGTAATATCTAAGATGCTAATTTCTTCGATTGGTTCGTGACATCTCAAAACAAAACAATCATAAGATCTTGAGTATAAGAATTAATTATGAAATACCGGCCTTATGATTCTATTTTTCCTTTTTATTTGTCCTATATTACAATAATATAAGTATTTTGATGCTTGTCTAATATAGCTTCAAAGGTTAGTAAAGAATTCTTTGTGAAGTGTGATAATGATCACTTATCAAACTATATACCAATATTTGTTAGATCCCTAAGTTCGCTACTGTCTGCCAATTTAGTAGCCGTTTTGTAGTATCCCTTGCGAAGAAAATATTCCACAAGCATTCTGTCTAATCTTTGTCGTCTCCATTGATTTACAGCGCTCGAAGAGGTATTAGCGTGATCCTTTAAATGATCTAATCTTCTTTTGCACACCATGCCTGCTTGCAATTCCTCAGCTATGGACTCCTGAGCTTTACGCTTTAAAACTTGAAGCCTAGCGACCACACCACCGAGCAATTTGCTAATTTCACCACTTGCTACATAAGTTCCATCAGTCTTTAAACTTTTCTCAAGTTCATTAGATACTGCCTGAACATGCGATACTTCTCTATCAAGAGTTTTCTGAGCAGAACGAAACTTCTTGTTCAAAAGCTCATATGGAACCTGTGTTTTAAAATTACATTATTGATACGTAAGTAGATTTTGAGAGCTTTCTAATAAAAGATTGGCTCTGAATTAAGCAAAAGACATTGAATTCCGAATTACAAAGTGCATGAGGTATTACTTTGTCCTTCTTTGTTCTTCAGTCAAGGACAAATGATGTATCATGTGCTTTGTGCTTAATTTGAAATGCATTCATATATCAACACAGGAATCATTCTGTCTTTACCTATCACTGAATATTGAACAAAAACATAATGACACTTGTGTCGATATGTGTATGTCTTGCTAGATAACACCCTTTATATATAATATATATTCTATTACATTTCACAATATCATATAGGCATCAAAATTTTTACGAGAGAGATTTAGATTAAATAAGTGTAAAAATATACATTTAATATTAACAAAATTATATAATATGCATTTATATTTTTACATAACAGAGTCCTTTCCTATATATATAGATAATAATTATATACATATACATACATATGTATAATATTCACATCTGTTATGAAAAATTTCATTTCTAAAAATATCTATTCTTTAAAGATTTACATTTAATAAAATATTATCTTTTTCTGATTTTCTTCAAAGATATGCATTTATCTTTAAACATCATACAAATATCATAAAAGATTACTTAAAATTAATTGACAAATAAGTGTATTTATCAATTATACACAATACTATAAATGATAAAATTTTCAAATAGCAAATTACTTTGAACATCCTATATGGGAGCATAAGCAAGTAAGATATAAATGTTTACCTTAAGTGTCGGATGTTCGAGGCTCTTAACATCTGACATATTGGTTAAATGCCCAGAACAATGAGCAATGAGGAGGCACGGAGTGAAGAACACGATGACGAAGTCGATGATCTGATTAGGTATCAATTATTATAAGTCGCGAGACGACGTATATTCACGTCCATGTTAATGCGATCTAATTAGAAAGTAGTTGACGACAATGGACAAAGAACGACGAACTCGAAGGATTGCATCGACTAGCAATTAGCATTCACCTTTAGCCACCTCGCTAGTTCACTCTTTCTTCACATGTGTCGGTTTGTTTACGCCTAATTTGGGTCGGTTTAATGTCTTTCTCTCACTAATGCCTAAAACCTGTATCAAACTTTATTTCGTATTGGAGACGATTTGTGAATTGAAAATTAGAAGTCACCCAATCAAATTATTTTTATCTTTATCTATTTTTTATTCTAATATCGATTGAATTTTAGCAATGATCCTTAAAGATTTATGCCTGTTCAGTTTTCTTCTTCTTCACACGAAAATGGTTCCCTGAATTTCCTGTATCTTCGACGAAACAGATACGATCAGAACAAAAGCAATCACCAGAGGGCTCCGGTAAAGACTGAGATCAGCGCTATAGCTGGAAAACGACTCAAACTATTCAGATAGGTAGCAAGAAAAAAAGGGCCAAGAGAAAAAGAATTATGGAGAAAGATCAACTGATTTAAATATGCCAATAAAAGGCGACAAAGTTTAACAGATGAACGTTTTAATATGAAGTGAAGATCATGGGAGCAAAGGAAAAGTTTTTCTTTAAAAAGGCTCTCAGAAGATCAGACTTTTAGGAATAGTTATGTAATCCCAACAAACAGGATCGGTTCCAATATCTTTGACGCCCTATACAAGATTTTAAAAAGCGCTCTTCGCCTCCCCCTCATTTATTTAATATATAATAATAATAAAATTTCAAACATAATTAATTCACATAAAATATTAA